TATGTGCTTCATTTTCGCTGGAGGAAACAGCTGTGGTGTGATGAGGGGTGAATGCAGTGAAAACGCCCATGTGTATATGTCATAAAGAAGATCTTATTTTAGAATATTGACAGTTATAAATTTGACCATTATTCAAGTCAAGTCAAGTCACCTTTATTTATATAGCGCTTTTAACAATACAGATAACAAATCTAAACAAAATTAATTTGCATTAAAATACATTTGAATTTAATTAGACTAGGCTACACTGCACTGTAAAAAATTATTGACTTTTAGATAGGTGAATGAATCATGAATGAGTCTTACCATAGTCTTTGGTCTAACTACACAATGAATTAGAACAACTTGAACTTGAACAGAAATGGAAAGCTTTGAATAACATTTAACCATAGCCGCGGGAACGTATTTTGAGTGGGGGGGCCTTCATGTGACAAGAGTGATGCGAGAAGACTGACACTATGGCCGTCATCATTAGTTATTCTTAGTTAAGCATAAATTGTTGTATATGCTTATGACTCGTGAATGTAATGCTCGGTTAACTGAAATGATCCAGGCTTGATGACGTATGCAGCCTGCAAATGCAACCTCAGGAGGATGCAGCCTTCCGTTTGAGAAACGGCCTATGATAGCGGATCCAAAAGCGCAACTTTTGTTGATAAAACTTTCATTTCTGTGTGTACGCGGGTAAAACATATCCTTATTCATTTTGTTAATAAAAGTTCAAAGTTTAATATAGGTGAATTTGTCATTGTACTATTTTATTGTATAGCTTATGTTTTTTCCCCATTAATAATAATGAGCCAAGCATTCGTTTAAGTAAGGGGAAAATTCAAAAACCATTCATTTATTTGTTACAACGCGGGTACATCAGTCTTATTAGTTCTGTTCACAAAAGTTTTGTTTAATAAGCCACTTTGTCATTGTAGCATTGCTGATGTTGTGTGTGTGTTTTTCCATTAAGAGTAATATTGAATCAACCATTAAGCATTATTGTTGTTTCAAGAATAGGAAAGGCCTAACGTTAAAGATCAAAAAAGCGCTACAGATGTGAGAATGCGAGATTTGTTGCTGAGTTAAACACTCTCGCTCTTTCTCTGCTGTCTCTTTGCTATGTCTGTAGAAATGGTCATTAATTCTTAATTTGGTTAAGGCACAGACATGTTACAGGTAATAATATAATCAAAAAATCATGGCAACAAATTATTTTTTTAAAGTCAGTTTAATAAGTTGAAACGACTTTCACAGTCAATTTTATTCAGCTTAGGCTACTTTTGTCAATGAATTTTAATGAATAAACAAATTAATAAAAATACATTTTATTATTTATTTTTTTTACAAATCGTTCATTCATTTATTTTTAACACCGCACCCCCAA